ATAACCTCGATGGATTATTCTCACTGACCGTTATTATTTTTCAGGTGCTTCTTCGACGTACAGTTTTTTCGTCGGAATGTTTCCGAAATGCCACGTATGTGTTTCAGGCTTGGATACTTGTTTTTCTCCCCCAGTTCGTTCTTACTCCACGAAAGACTGTTTCCAGCTATTGGTTGACAACCTCGGAATGGTTCATTTTGGCAAAAAAATGTGTTCTCCTTTTCCTATTTGATCCATTACTAAACTGTTTTGCTTTCTACTTAGGTGGGAAACGAAATTTCGGTCGTGCGTTAGTAGTTGTAGTGACTGTCTATTTGCTGTGGTTTATACTTATCCTATATGTTTGTCTCATACCTCGGAGATACGTTTTTTGGGCACAGTGTACGAATATGCAATCTGCATTTAAGTGCGATGCATTTACAGAAGGATTTTGGTTTATCTTACATTTATTTTCAAGCCATTGGATTTTGTTTTTGGTATGCTTTCATTACGCTTGTGCAATATTGAAACACGCAGGACGCGTTCCTGTTCCGTTGCCGCCGAATTTACCAGCTCTTTCTATCTGTACTCGGTGTATCCGTCCAAGACCTATTCGTGCACATCATTGCAGTGTTTGTGGCGAGTGTATTCTCCGCATGGATCATCACTGTCCGTGGATCGCTAACTGTGTCGGTCTACGTTCCCATCGGCATTTTTATTTAGTGCTATGGTTTATGAGTTTGGGCGGTCTGTACATGCTCACCGTGGGAAGGTGGGAGTTCAATGTGCATGTCACTGAATTTGAACGCAAAATCAACACGTCTGACCTAGTCAAGGTGCGTAAGTTAGTAAACCATTGTCGAATAAGTGGTGTTCATTTTCAGTCTTTTCATTAGTTAATACGATGTACTTTTTTATTCGGGAATCGCTTTTCGTGACAAATAATGGAATAGTTTTCTATTTTGGTTTTTCCGCGTTGTTGAGTGCTATGCTCATAAAATTGTGGGATACATTTTGCAAAAGATTTAGTCTAAGCGACTGTAGCGATCGCTTTAAAGCTTACTACAGGTTACCGAATGCCTTCCATAGCTTAACATGTTATATTTCATAATCTTCTGAGTCCAGACTGTGTTGAACAAATCATCTCATTTCCTCTACCACTGTTCATTTTGTAAATGCAACATCAATAATCTGACTCTTGAATGTTCCCTTACATTCCCTTTTGATTATGGTTTTTGTCCGTTTACCTGTAATACGCTTTGTGTAATAAGAAAAGTTGGGTCACGTCCTTATGGCATAGTTGACAGGCCCAGGGTGACCAATATCGCCCATCGTCTAGTTGACCTAACGATAACGGTAGCCAGGATGTACTGGATGTAGTTACTGTGCCTCTTGTAAGGTTTAATGTCAGTTTTTTCAGCTGTCTTAGATGAACTAGCTTCCTGTGATTCATCAACGAGGAACGCGGCTCCAGATATCTTGTTTTCTCTCTCATTCCACTGAAAACACGTTCGCCATGAGAACGCAATACATAAGGCTTCCCCACTAAATGCCTTAAGAGATAAACTCTAGTTTCATTTCTACCACCTCTTAATCATGCACCATTGATGACGCTCAGCCACATCACTCAATGCCTAATCATCGATTACGATATCTCGAGGTCGCCATCCAGAGAGCTGAATCCAGCCTATGTGACTAAGTCTCCTGGTTAGGGGTTTCACACCCTCTTGTCAGGTCTTGGTTTGACCGCCCTTGATGTCTTTCCATCCACTGCTTACCTCGCAAACATCACGCACCGTGGCAGCCTGTTGAGTGACATGCGCAACATATGTCCCAACCAACGTAATCTATGAAGGTCGATAACTAGCCCCAGTAGCCGACCACGATCACATAAAACACTGTATCTAACCTCAGCGTTGCTTGTTTGTTTTCCCCTCCAAACTCGTGCCATACGACGCACACACAGCAGTCAAACACCGACAGTCTATCCTGTTACCTTACTGGGCAAGTCTCCAAACCGTTAAGTAGCACCGGTTGAACTGCTGAAACATACACGCGACCTTAACAGACAGTCGGATCTTTCGACGGTGCCACAAATGTCTCCAGCCGACAGATGCCAATCGAGCCTTCCGTATGCCTGTCGATTCTTCGTCCGTGATGCGTTTACCATGCGATATATGGGTGTCTCCAATAGCAAAATATGTGCAATTTTCGTTACTTCCCCAGGCAAGTTGAGGTTGAGGCCTGGGAGAACCTAATCATGCAGCAACATAGCCTCCAAAGGCCTCGGTATGGTCTGGAGTGGGTGTCTAGTGTTGTGGTTGATCACCCTTCCCTTGCACCTCGCGAAATGCTCCCATACAACCAAGCGTCTCTAATAGCCTTTGCTGAGAAAGCCCTACTCACTGCCTCGTAGCGGAGGTGTTTTACCACCAGAGTGAGAGGACAAAAAGCCGACATCCGGAGCTATAGCCGGGTTGGTGAATCACTGGTAGTTCACCTAGGGGAGTTGGCCGAAAGCCCTGATTCCAAACCAACCAAGAAGAGGCGCATGAACCACACACCTCCCTGGTTGTGGCAGTGGTCACCGCTTGATTAGGCACCTTTGACGTTTGACCCCGTCCAAATGGCATACAATCCGATGAATTGGACACCGGTCCCCAATGCATTGCGGTTTTCACACACATAAGGCTTTGGCTGGCCAAAGACTGCGGTTGTGGATACCTTAAGACAATTTAGCTGCCTTGGCGTGGGCAACTTGATAGTATTCGGCCCATGCAAATCGTGGAACGTTTTTCTTTTTCATAAATATTATTGTACCATGATTTGTTTAGCGTACCGTGTGGCCCCGGACGTGTGTGAATTATATGAATATATATGTAATGATAATCAGAGCGAGGACGATTTCCCATTGTCGAACAGTTAATATTCGAGACAAAAAGCATTCCATCTATTACGGTTTTACCGTTGGACTTTTCTGTTACATCGAGGGTTTAGGGTGTAGCGTGACTAGTGGCATTACCTTTGCTGTAGCAACAGGTTTTCAACATGTTGGATATGAATAATGAACCACGATCATCATGTTTGCAAGAAAGTATACCGTAGGTAGTGAAGAGATTGATTATAATGACGATATGTTTAAACAGTTATATATATATGTCTGAGCTCAGACTGCCCAAGAAATCACGGTAGTATAACCTTTATAAGGCATAAGCAAATGCGAACTGATAAACTTAATCGAAGATCGTCAAGTGAAGTCTATTCCTTAAGTCAGGAGTATGAAGAGTTTGATAGCTGTACTCATTTGTTTAAGTATCCTTAAATAGGAGAGTGTGTAGTAGGTTTCGAAGTCGTGATTTAAATTCAATGCGTTGGGAAATCACTGATTTTAATTACGCAGTTAAGAATGATAAAGTATGGAACCTAAAAATGTCTCATTTTGTTTACACTGGAATTTACCATTCACTCATTGACATCAGGATTGAAGATGGATCCGCAGATGCCTCGGGGTAGTGTCCACAATACAACTGCACTCTGAGCTACAGGATACGCGGTAATGGAAGCCAGATAGATCAGTTCCTTCGAGTTGCTAGTTTTCATTTTTTACGTTTTCAGTCCGGTGTATGCTACTTGGGCCTTGGAGATGCGGGCGGTTATCTCTTTTGCTGGGCTACCGTCATTGGTCACGCTACTACCTAAGTAGGAAAGATATATATATATATATATATATATAACACCTGCTTGCGGACAAGCATGGTGCCATTTAGGTTCAGAGCGGGGGTAGGCAAAACCCTATCCTGCAGTGTCACTTTGCAATTAGAAGGTGTAAAGCACATGCCGAATCTGGCAACCGCACTTGTTAGTCTATCAAGTACGCTTTGCTCGTCCTCTATGCATTCGAACAGACAGACGATGTCATCGGTGTACTCCGAATCGCATGGTTTTTCTCCAGCTGCCCATTCAATACCTACGTTTTGGAGGCCACTAAGTGCGTCCTCCAGTATTTCGTCCACGACGAAGTTGAACAGGAACGGCGTAAGAGGGCATCCTTGACGAACGGCTTGCTTAGTTCGTTGTAAACCCTCACTTGACTAGAGATATGTGAGTGCAGTGACCTCAGTAGGTTAACGTACTTCTGGGGCATTCGTTTTCGAAGAAGGGAGCCCATCAGTGCATTGCGGTCAACCAAGTCGAACGCTCCTTTCAGGTGAAGAACACTGCGATTGTTGGTCGACGGTGGGTGTGACGCAGCTCGAGGACCTAACACGCAACGTAAAAATGTGATCAATGCATTCACGGTCAGGCTGGAATCCGGTTCGCTGTTCACCGATGTTGATCTCTTTTAAAGGAGTCAGACGTCGAAGGATGACTGAGGTTAGCACTTTGGTGACGATTGGGATTGAAGTTATCCCGCAGTGTTTTCGGCAATGGTGGTTTCTGCAATAGGCTCCCTATTAAGCTGAATTCAATGCGATAGGGAGTTTGTATTCGATGCATCCTCAAACACTCGGTGACTTACTTATAGGTTAATAGCAAGCTGGCACAATCTCATCTGGGCCAGACTACGTAAGCATCGATTTTTAAAAACCATGAAGCAAAGAATGTTTTCTACCCGCAAATTCTCACAATCGCAAAGGAGAACTTATGGTACACAGGAGCAGTATACGCGACTTCTCAACGGTAGTGAACTATTAGGTCGTCATCAAAGGTGTTTTATTTCTGCGTACACTGCTCGATCCTTGGAAATTTGGGTGGTTATCTCTTTTGATGCGCTACCGTTGTCAGTCACACAGCTAACCAAGTACTAGAAGCGGTCAAGTTCATCTAATGCCTGATCGTCTGGTTTCAGAGCGCACCTAGGTGCCATCCAGTCTTGCGGCATCCCTTGGCACTTCGAAGGTGGAAAGTGAGCGGAGCAACAGAACTTGCTAATCCATCAAGTGCGCTTCGCACATTCTCCATACATAAGACTACCCAAAGGATGTTATCAGGGTACTCCGACTTGCATAGCTTAGGGGGGACCTCATATAAAATTTCAAGATAATGAAAGGATTGACTGCGGTGAACGCCGAAAGTTTGTTTACTCGAACACCGATAGAAGCCACCAGGGTGCACAATCAAAAGCTCTTCAAACCAAGGGCTGGCATCAGTGTGTGGTTTAACTTCCACAAGAACCGAGTGGTTGATAGATGGAATCAGCTGCCACCACACCTAATGGAAAGTGCGACCACAGCCGAATTTAAGAGGCAGTTAGACACGGTTTGGACCCAAATGTACCCCGAAATAGTACATAAACGGGGTCTGATGTTGTTTAGGGATGACATGATTGTTTTCTCAATTGATCTTTTTTATAGATACCACTCTGGAATCATTTTACTGCTCAAAAATAGTTGCGAGACAACGAATAACACGAGCTTGAAGCTTTGGGAGAAGCACCCTTCCTACCGGAGAAATAATCTGGACGCCTAGTTGACGAAAGCCTTTTCCGTACTGCGATACCAGGCCTCAAGTAATTCAGTTTCAGTTTTTACAACCATTAACCATGCTCTTTCGTGCGCCGGTTTTGGTTGCCCATTTGGATAAAAGAGCAAAATGAAGATTGGAATGCCGAAGCAAATTCAAGCGGGAGACGGGAAATTATTATAGAGTGGTGTTAGGAGAATAACGAGTGGATGCACGAGCGCCACTGTT